AGAGAATATAAAACATTACCAAAAGACAAGACACAAATCTGAACGTAGTGAATAAGAAGGACAAGCACAGTTTTAAACTAAGCAGCTAAATTGTTAACATAAACAGAGGAAACTGTAATTAAACTCTTTGGTTACAAGCAACAAAATTACATTGCAAAATTAAAGCATGTACTCAGGGCCGAGGAGATGGCTCAGTGGAATAAGCACTTCCCTGGCATGCGCAAGGGCCTGAGTTCAACCCTCAGTTTAAAAAAAAAAAAAAAAAAGCATGTACTCAATAAAAAGTCCCTACAAAACTGAAGCAAAGTAGCAATGCTATGAAAGTAAAATCGTGCCACTTGTCAGGGTCTTAAGTCTCATGGCAATGAGGCGCAACCATGACTGGGCGCTGCTGGGCGGGCACGTCACCTGGATTCACCCGCGTGGGGAGGGAGGGCATAGGGGAAAGAAGCCTCGAAGATGGCTCTAACTTCATTTGCCTATTTTAGCTCTTTATTCTGCCATATTCTCATATTTACAAAATCCGATAAAGTAGCACAAAAAATGACTCTCTATCCCTGACCTGTTACTTGAACATTAAAATATCACCATATTTGCTATGTCATATTAGTTCAGAGAAGTTTGGAAGGTTATTCATCAAAAGTCCTTAAGAACTGGCTGGAGTTATTTCCTTTAGAGAATATTTAAAACAGGCATGGAGGGGCCGGGGAGATGGCTCAGTAGGATAAGCGCTTGACTGGCAAACGCAAGGATCTGAGTTCAATCCCTGGTTCCGCCAAAAAAAATTAAAAAAAAAAATAAATAAATAAATAAATAAATAAATAAATAAAACAGGCATGGTAATGCACAACTATAATCCCAACACTCCAAGAGGCTGAGGCAGGAGGATCACAAGTTTGAGGCCAGTTAGAGCAATTTAGCAACTTACCATGACCCTATCTCAAAACAAAGAATAGAAGAATGGCTAGGATGTAGCTCAATGTGAAGGTCATGGATTCCAGCCCAAGTACTGCATGAAAGAAAGAAAGAAAGAAAGAAAGAAAGAAAGAAAGAAAGAAAGAAAGAAAGAAAGAAAGAAGAAAAGAAAGAAAAAGAGAGAAGGAAGGAGGGAGGGAGGAAACAATAAAACCACCAGTAGTATTGCTTTTTTTTTTTTTTTTTTTTTTTTGCAGAACCAGGGATTGAACTCAGACCCTTGTGCTTGCCAGGGAAGTGCTTATTCTACTGAGCCATCTCCCCAGCCCCAGTATTGTTGATTGTTATTAATCTTGAACTACATCAAATAAATTATTTGGTTGCAAGGCTTTTCAATTTCACCATTGGCCAGAATGGGCTGTACACTTTAATGAAGGATCATTTGTGGTTACAAATTTTTCATGAATTCCTTCCATTTCACCAAAGGTAGAAAGGAAGAATTAGTAAGAATTCTTGTTACCATTTCGTGAACTGTAGGCTTTTTGTTGTTGTTTGATGGACATTCAGGCTTTGTGGGGAATCCGAGTTTCAGAACCAGAACTCCACACTTCACCTTTTGAGTCAGGGATCCCCAGCATTCAGGCTTTGTGGGGAATCCAAGTTTCAGAAGCAGAACTCCATACTTCACCTTTGAGTCAGGGATCCCCAGGCCAGATCTTGTATTTCCAGTGCTCCCTGACAACCCTCAAAACAGAAACCAAAGCTCCTCAGGCTTATCATCACCTCTCAAGAGTAACACCAGTTTCTACAGTTTATGTTTTGATTTCCATTTTTACTTAATCTTGATATTCTATAATTTTCATCTACCAGTAAATTTAGCAAAGATTTACCCAAGTTGTGATGTACAACAATATTGCACAACAGTTCCTACTACATTTCAGTGAGATCTAATGTCAGATTACTTTCTCCTTCTATTTTATTCAGGTTACTTCATGAAATGCCATGGACTGTGCAAGGAGTGAACAACAAATATTTATTCCTCATGGTTCTAAAAAAAAACAAAACCAGGAACATGGTGCTGGAATAGCAGGGATCTGGCTAGAGCTTTCTTATAGGATGTACTTGATGAACAGAGATGGTGAGAGAAATCACTGGGGTTTCATTTTTAAGGCATTTATTTTAGTCGTGTTAGCTTTATCCTCTCAGAAAAACCCATCACCTTCAAAATTCCTACCTCTTAGTATTGTAATGTTTGATGTTTCACTTAAATTTTTGAGGAACACAAGCATTCATCTGTACTATTCTACCACTGATCCCTGCAAGTCCTATCTTTCTAACAGGGAACAACACAGAATTGCAATTCCAATAGTCTTGACTCCTTCCAGAATCAGTCCTTTAGAATTTAAATCCAAAGTTTCACTCAACTATAGACTCAATGAGATATGAGTAAGAGGGGCAAAAACCTTCTGAAATCTGAGCTTGTCAAGTGAAATGAGCCATGTGACTTAAAAATATAATGATGTGGAGAGGCTTTCCCACTCCAAAAGAGAAAATATAACAAAGATTGATGGGTAGCCAGCAAGTTTAAGACTTACAAAAGCTAAATCTATGCTACCTTATGTTTCCATAATAATAAGCTCCTGTTGGAGCTTCTAGTCCTGGACTTCGCTGATCCAGTAGAAAACGTCCTCACACAGCCCTGCGCATGCAGATGTATGTGTAGAGAGCTGAACAGTTTTCTGTGTAGCCTTTAAAACTCGAGCCATAGGCAGCACAGCCTCCATTCTGCATTTCCACCAGGCTGAGTCTGGAGAGAGGGAATTACAATTACTCGAATGGTTTTGTTAATACAGGAAAATAAAAATAAAATAATATTTGCGGGGTTTCAAACATAAAAGCTTAAATGGTATTTCAGCACAGTCTATGACTATGCCTGGCCTTCCCAATTCAGACTTAAAAAATAGAGAAAACTCAGGTAATACAAACAAAACTTGTATTCTATTATAAAGTACATGTCATTGTTTTCTTTATGCACTGGATATTATTCCATTCTGAAGTCTACTGTTCTTCATATTTATATCTGAATAAAATACAAGCTCTGAAATATTTAGCTAAAGGAAATATTTCAAGTTAAAATTTACTTGACAAATCATCATTTGCGGGTTCTGCATCTCTGTATTCCAATAGTGCTATTCTTCCATGTATTTTGGATATGCTCAGAGATTTTTGCTGTTCTTTAAGCAATACAAAATAGCAGTATCTTACATAACATTGGTTTGCATCTACTTCATTAGCTGTTATAAGTATCTAGTAGTGACTTAAAACACACAGGGGTGTGTGTAGGGTGAGTGCACACACTGTGAAGGGACTTCAGCACCCATGAACTGATCTCAGTATCCATTCAGAGTGAGGAGGACTCTTGGAACAGCAGTACCCCAAGGATACCAAAGTACTGCAGGCAGCCGAGTTAGATAAAATATTATAGGCAGTCAGACAGGGTCAGGCCTTCAAGGAGACAACACAGAAGATGAGATGCCTTACAACTGTGGGAGGAACGGATGCTCCTGCTGTGAACCAGACCTAAAAAGGCCAAACAAATGCTAAACGAGTAGCACTTGGGATTGATATTCTAAATAGGTATGGATCACCTGGAAAAACTCAAGTGAGTCACTAGCCCAACCCCCAACAGAAAGAGACCCTATCCCACATTCCAACCCCCAACAGGAAAAGACCCTGTCCCATATGTAATCCCATTGGTTGACTATAGTTTTGTCCCACCTCCTGCCCACCTAAGCGAGTTCCCATTCTCTCTAC